ACCTCTTTTTTGCCCTTTCTCTGGTTCCTCTCCACCTCAGCATTACCTTGGGTACCAAGTGCCTAACCTCTTTTTTGCCCTTTCTCTGGTTCCTCTCCACCTCAACATCACCTTGAGTACCAAGTGCTTAATCCCTTTTTTGCCCTTTCTCTGGTTCCTCTCCACCTCAGCATTACCTTGAGTACCAAGTGTCTAACCTCTTTTTTGCCCTTTTTCTGGTTCCTCTGCCCCTCAACATTACCTTGGGTACCAAGTGCCTAACCTCTTTTTTGCCCTTTCTCTCGTTCCTCTCCACCTCAGCATTACCTTGAGTACCAAGTGCCTAACCTCTTTTTTGCCCTTTCTCTCGTTCCTCTCCCCCTCAGCATTACCTTAGGTAACAAATGCCTAATCTCTTTTTTTGCTCTTTCTCTGGTTCCTCTCCACCTCAGCATTACCTTAGGTAACAAATGCCTAATCTCTTTTTTTGCCCTTTCTCTGGTTCTTCTCCACCTCAGCATTACCTTGGGTACCAAGTGCCTAACCTCTTTTTTGCCCTTTCTCTGGTTTCTCTCCACCTCAGCATCGCCATGGCCACGAAAGAAAACATGACTTCGCAGCGAGGAATGATGAAATCCATACAGAGCAAGATGAACACCTTGGCCAGTATCCTTTATCCTGCTGTTGCTTCTGCTGCTGCGTTTCACCTCCCGGGCACCGAACGTTAACTAGAATCAGAAAGTTGGAAAGGAGCCTAGAGGTCATCCAGTCCAACCCCCTGTTGCATGCAAGATCCACTAGAGCAGGGCTTCCCAACTGTAGCAAATTTAAGAGAGGTGAGATCAGGGAGGAGCCGAAGGGACCCAACTTTGTGTGATGTGGCCTGGAAGGATCCACCCAGAGTTAGTCGAAAGGTGGGCAGCTATATAAATGTTCTGAATACAATAAATGTGTGAAGAGGTGGAGGAAATGAAGATTCACAAAGGATGTGGACAGGCAGGAGATGAGAACAGAGCCAGGATGGAGGGGAAACCCTGGCTTAAGTGGCAGAGCGCTTCCCTTCGGGGGCAGCCATTCCTTCCCTTTCTTTCTTTCTTTCTTTCTTTCTTTCTTTCTTTCTTTCTTTCTTTCTTTCTTTCTTTCTTTCTTTCTTTCTTTCTTTCTTCCTTCCTTCCTTCCTTCCTTCCTTCCTTCACTTTTTTACTTTCTCTCCTTCTCTTTTTCACTTTCTCTCCTTCCTTCCTTCTCTTTTTCACTTTCTCTCCTTCCTTCCTTCCTTTTTTCCTTCCTTCCCTTTTTCACTTTCTCTCCTTCCTTCCTTCCTTCCTTCTTTCCTTCCTTCCCTTTTTCACTTTCTCTCCTTCCTTCCTTCCCTTTTTCACTTTCTCTCCTTCCTTCCTTCCTTC